CCCCAAAACCCCAAAACCCCAAAACCCCTTAAATCCTGTATTTAGAATATTTAAGCAAAATTAATAATAATCTAATAATACAATTTTATTAATATAATCTAATGCTGAACTCATTATCATTAAAAATTCTATTTCTGATATCTACTCTATTCCTATGCTCTTAGATAAAATGCTAAATAGATTTAGATGGTAACTATGATCATGATTTAGTTTAGATAGATTAATATTGCAAAGATGATTCAGATTGTAAGTCTTTTCATGTATGCACTGATAGTATATGCGTGCATAAGGGCATCTTTCCAGTTGAGGGTCTAGAGATCGGTGGACTAATTACAATATCATTCCTTATGATGCTATGTACTATTGGAGGAATAGGAGGAGGTGGTGCTGTAGTTCCATTACTTATGTCCTTCTTTAAATTCGAAACAAAAGAGGCAATCGCAATATCAGGATTTAGTATATTTGTTTGTTCTCTTACAAGGTTCATATTTAATTTCAAATAAAAGCACCCGTAGAAGGATGTAGTTGCGATTGATTATGGATTAGCTTCAGTGATGTTTCCTTCTGTAATTTTTGGCAGTTTCATTGGAGTTATGATAAATGTAATCTTCCCAAGTTTATATCTGCAAATATTGCTGACTTTATTGCTAATATTCCTAACATATGATTGCACTAAAAAGGCTATTGTAATTTTCAAAAAAGAGAATAGGCAAGCCATACAAGTCAAAGAGTAACTGGAAAATAGTTAATCGATAACTGAGAAAATGATTAATTAAGAACATAATAGCGGAGGAAAAAATAATGAATAATTGGATTAAAGCATTATATAAGATAATAATGAAGATGATAATCTGAAATAAAAGGATTAATTAATAGAGAAATTGTCATCAAAGAAAATATTTAAAGTCGATTTAAGCAAAGACTTTTAGAAAAATACTTCAAATGAAACTGATATCAATCATTCTGAAATTCAAAAAACAAGGGACATTATATTTGTTGATGGAAGTCTAGTTAAAAATTCAGAAATTTAACTATCGGTGATTGCAACATAAAGTTAGGTGAAATAAGTAGAGAGAATGATTTAAAGAGAAAGGACTCATTATTAATGGAACAAACAAGGAATTTGCATTCTATTGCTTGTAGTTTAAGTCTTAATCTCACTTTTTAGAGGAAGTAAAAAGACTCATTCAATTATCGGCATTGGAGTTTGTTCATTCTGGGATTGGTTCTGCTTCTCCTTCTTCTTGATTTTTTGTGTAATCATATGCTTTTTAGCAGTGAAAAATCTCTAGAGAGAGTAAAAATTGAAGTAATTAGTTGGAAAGGGATTGATTCCTTCTGATGTAATCTTAAACCCAAAAAATGTAAGAAAGCTTGTTGGAGTTGCTACTATAGGAGGATTAGTTTCAGGTGCTTTTGGTCTAGGAGGAGGTACAATATTCAATCCGCTTTTGTTAAGTCTAGGAGTGCCACCAGCTGTGGCTTCCTCAACTGGAATGTACATGATCTTATTTAGTAATCTTGGATCTAGTATAACTTTCATGGTTTATAAAACTCTTCAACTAGATTATGGACTCTGGATAGGATTCTATTGCTCTCTTAGCTCGATTGCAGGACTTTATATTTTGAATAAAGTTGTGAAAAAATATAATAGGCAATCACCGATAGTAATAGTTTTAGCTTTAATGATGGGAGTATCAGCACTTTTCGTTCCACTTTTTGGAATAATTGATTTAGTTCAGGAATACAAAGATGGTATTGACATTACTTAATTTAACAGTTTATGCTGATCAAATATAATAATCAAGGTGAAAATTTATTCTATTATATTTATTAAACGTACTTTATAAAAATAGAAATTATATGGGCTCAAGGGGTTTTGGGGTTTTGGGG